AAAAAAAAAAAAAAAAGAATAACTCTTCCAGCCACCATCTTCAGTGATTTGAAAAGCATCTTTGTTTTTCAGTGGAGTGCATTTTAACTCTCAGGCCATAGCTCCCACCATTGAGCAGATTGACCAGTCTTTCGGTGCAACCCATCCTGGAGGTAAGCCCAAGTCCATCTGATTCCTTTCATCATCTGTCACAGCCCATAATGATAAACCTAGCAAGTGATCCCATCCCAGCCCCAGCACCCCTGAAGCCAGGTTCCTGTAGAATTTGAGGGTTGATAGTTGGGTGTGAAGGAAAGCTCCTCCCCCTTTGTTTTCAGCCTAGGAGGTCAGTTCAGGAATCAGACACAAGGAAGGTGTTGCCAAGCTGGTCTGTGTTCACATTTTCTGATGCCATTCAACCATGTCATTTTCTCCTTCCCATTCCCACAGTGTACAACTCCGCTGAGCAGCTCTTCCACCTCAACTTCAGAGGACTGTCTTTCTCTTTTCAATTAGACTCATGGACCGAGGCTCCCAAGTATGAGGTTAGCTCTTCCCTTCCTATGGTATTTGTCACCCAGTATCCAGGTAACATGGACCCAACAGACAGTGCCACTGGGAACGCTGGATAGGTAGCCTTTCTTTGGTTTCCTCATCTCTCAGGTCTTCAGAGGCCAGGATGGGCACAGTGGGTGGGGTTGATAGCAAGAACAAAGCCCAAGCCGGCATTCCCAGGAATGGGCACTTCGCACTGCAGAGTGAGGTCAGGCTCCCTTTTCAGAGAGAAACTCAGTTGTGCCTTGGTTTAAAACTCCAAATCACTGGTTTTTAGCAAATTGTTTCTTTCATCCTTAGGTAGCAACATCCTTAGGGTCGTGAAATGATAGATGTTTGTAAAGCTTCCATTTTATTAAAGAAAGCATTCCTGTAATTTCTTCTTGATGAAAGAAAGAAAAACTAAGTAAAATTAAAGATGAACCTCTATGATGGGGGAAGTTGATTGACATGGAGCCGGGTTTGACTGTGTGCTTTGACCTGGCCCAGGGGGCTGGGGAAATGCCAGAGCCTGGCTCCCATGGCCTGCAGTGTGCTCTTAGTAAAACTGTTGTCTTATGTTTGCAGCCCAATTTTGCCCACGGTCTAGCTTCTCTCCAGATACCCCACGGGGCGACTGTGAAACGAATGTACATCTACAGTGGAAACAGCCTACAGGATACAAAGTATGTGTAGGGAGCACAAACTTCACGGTCCCTGGGCTCCCTGGGAGGGAGGGCAAAACCTCTGCTCATTCTGTGCCTGCCTCCAGGGCTCCCGTGATGCCCCTCAGCTGTTTCCTTGGCAATGTGTATGCTGAGAGTGTGGATGTTCTTCGAGATGGAACTGGACCCTCAGGTTTACGACTTCGGCTACTTGCTGCAGGTCAGTTAACTTGCCTTGGGGTGGTGAATTCTCCATTATATCCATGTTGAGACAATCTAAAATCCCACATGCTTAGAGATAGTTGGTATAAGACAACGTGGATATTTATGGTTAAAGCTTTGATTTAAATTTGTGAAGGGACAAGACATAGTTTTATCATTGGCAAATCTTAATAAATGACAGTAACACTGCTTCCCCTAGGATGTGCATAAGCCTTCTGTGTGCTTATGTAGTTTTGCAGTGCCTCCCAGGCTGTTTACTGGAGATGTGTCTTATGGGCTGTGATATTGGTCTGTTCTCCCCTTTTCCACCTTTTTTTTTTTTTTAAAGATTTATTTACCCATTTTAGAGCGCACAGCGGGGAGGGCAGAGGGAGTCTCAAGCAGACTCCACGCTGAGCACAGAGCGTGACATGGGGCTCATTCTCACGACCCTGAGATCACGACCTGTGCGGAAACCAAGAGTCGGACGCTCAACTGACTGAGCCACCCAGGTGCCCCATTCCCTTTTCCACCCTTTATGGCAAGTTCTCAGTAGGCCGGCAGCAAGGACTTGTTGAATTGTGGTTTGGCCAGACCCTGCTGTGAATTTTGCTGACTGTGAACAAAAAGCTGCTGCCTTCAGTGGCTGGTCTCACCAGGATCCACGCCTTACTTGTGATTTCCTTGTATGTGACCAGTTTCAGCTACTGTGGACCTTGAGCCATGCTTGGTAGTACAGGCCATGTCTTTGGCCTGGGAGCCAGCATAGGAGCTGTGCTTTTATGGAGCTCATAGTCTAGCCCGTGTTTGTTCATAAATTGGGGTCTTATATCAGTTTCTAGGGCACTGGTTCTTACCTATGAAGAGTCTGGTATATAAACCGTGAGCTCATTCCCCTGAACAATGAGATAGTTTACAACCTCCAGGTTAGGAATTTTTTTTTTTTTTTAAAGATTTTATTTATTTATTTGAGAGAGAGAGAATGAGAGAGAGAGAACACATGAGAGGGATAGGGTCAGAGGACAAAGCAGACTCCCTGCCGAGCAGGGAGCCTGATGCGGGACTCGATCCTGGGACTCCAGGATCATGACCTGAGCCGAAGGCAGTCGCTTAACCAACTGAGCCACCCAGGCGCCCAGGAATTTTTTTGAAATGTGGTTTTCTAGCCAAGGAAGAAAACTCTACTTAAAAGAATGTTGCACTTGAGCTATAGTGTTTGAGAGAATTGAGATTGAGAATTGAGACGTAGAAGGTCAAGTGATTTAGGGTCTCTCTTGTCAGGAGGATCACACCTTGAAACAGCAGGGTAGTCAAGGATGATGCGGTTGTCCCAGGTGACAGCAGGAGGAGTCTGTCAGGGGTGGGGGATCTCCTCCAATTGTGACTGCCGTCCTGTACAGCACACTCCCAGTGGTCACATGTCACAGGGTCAGTGGGGGGAACACTTGAAGTCAGGGACTCACCACATCACTGTCCAATCCAGTACCCATTGAGAGTTTCCTTTGGCAAGCAGAAAGGTAGCTTGTGTCAACCAGCCCATTTCTCACATGTTTCCTTATGGGGTGTAGCTACTGGGATGCTTTTAAGATAGGAAGTCAGTTCACCTGTCTTGGTCCCCACAATAACTTATAGGAAGATTCACTCCAGGGAATCAGAACCTAAAATAGTCTCCTAAAACTAAGGGTATTTTTCCCTTGGTAGGCTTCAGATAGGGTGAGACAAGAGAGAAGACTCACACATGAAGGGTGCCTTCCCTGTGGCCCCATCTGGACATTCGCAAGTGTCTGGTACTTGGAGACTTTGGGCATACAGTCCAGCTTGACAGGACTTTTGGTGGGTTCTGTAGGTCACCCAAGCTTGCCTAAGCAGCAAGATTTATAGACAGAGGTTAACGTGGGCTATGCTTTTCCTGCGACCTAGTTAAACACAACCTTTATTTGCCACTCGGTGTATATGTGCTGTGACTAAAGACTCTTGGGTTAGTTGAAGAACTCAGTACCAATTTATTTCAGATGTTGGATCCCTGAGGTCTTCCCTATATAACAAATGGATTGTTATTCATGAAAGAGCTTTGTCAACTATAAAGCTCTTCGTAGAGTAAGGTGTTGGTGATTATCATGTACCAGGAAATGCAGTCTTCCTCAGGTTCTTGCGTGTGTGTGTGTGTGTGTGTGTGTGTAGGGGAAGTAAAACACTTTGTCTTCCCATCCACAGAGTTGCTGTGTCTGTTGCTATTCCACATCTGCTATGTGTGTGTGTGTAACTGGAACTGTTTCCAAAATGTATTAGACAGAGTCAGGGTTTAAAGATTCTTCCCAAAGAAGAAACTTTTGGCAAATTGGATTTTCTTATCCTCCCACTTTTCTGGTTTGTCATTTTTGAGTGTTAGTGGGTCTATCAGTGTTTATAGAATTAGGGAGTGAGTTAACGGATATTTCACTCTTGGCTTTTCTGTAGAGTGATCTTGAGGTCCAGTCTCTGGTTGGGGGTTACCATTGAGAAGCCCCTCTTAACATAAATTCTTGTATTTTGTCAGGACCTGGAAAGTGGCAAGAGATAATAGCACCTCATTATATACTTCCATAGCATCTATGCTGCTGTGTATTGTACCACAGCTGGGTGGGGTCAGATTGGGATCTTCACACCATAAGCTCCAATATGGGCAGAGACTGCACTTGTTTTGCTCAGCATGTTTCTTCAATATCTAACAAAGACATCTAACATGTCTAGCCCATGGTAGTCAATAAGTAAATATTTGGTGAGTGAATGAATGAAGTTTTCAGAGCTCCACATCACTTTTGTGGGATTGAATGAGTCTCTGGGATTTTTTTTTTTCTTTTTGGTTTTTTTGTTTGTTTGTTTGTTTTAGGTTTTTTCAGAGAGGGAGACAGGGGAGAGCGGCAGAGGAAGAGGGAAAAAGAGAATCTTAAGCAGGCTCCACGCCCAGCATGAGCCCAGCTCGGGGCTCAATCTCACCACCCTGAGATCATGACTTGAGCCGAAATCAAGAGTTGGATGCTTAACCGACTGAGCCACCCAGGCGCCCCTCTCTGGGATTATTTCAAGTAGATAGTGATCTCTTGTAGCATCGCAAGCCCTTGTGACCTGGTATTTCTGTTTTTATGCAGTCTTGCTTCTCAGCCAGAGCTAATAATGCAGCGTGCCTCTCTGGGGCCGCCTTGGCCCGATGCTGCAGGATTTCAGGCTCTGGGTGGGAACCTGACCACCTTTCACTTACTCTCTGCAGGTTGTGGACCTGGCCTATTAGCAGATGCCAAGATGCGGGTATTTGAACGTTCAGTATATTTTGGTGATTCCTGCCAAGATGTTCTTAGCATGCTTGGCTCTCCACACAAGGTCTTCTATAAGTCAGAAGACAAGGTAGGGGAAATGTGTTTATAAAGTCAAATAGGCAGTCTCCTTTTAAGTAAACTCTGCCCCCAAGGTGGGATTCGAACTCACAATCCTGAGATCAAGAGTCACATGCTCTACCGACTGAGCCAGCCAGGCGTCCTTCTTTTTTATCAATATTAACTTAATATCAAGTAAATATAAATTGTTTATTATTTTTCCATAGAACCTGTTCTGTTAAAACTGATAAAGAATTAAATTGAAAGTTCTTTCCTGATACTGTTGGTCAGATTATCCTGCCTTTTTTTGGGAGACCAGGGCCCAGTCTGTGGTCAGCCAAAGCTGGCTGCATTGTTCAGCACCAGTAGCAGGGACTGTGACACTCTTGCTTACCCAACAGCTTAATCTTATACCCAAAACACAGTTTGTAGACTTTTAGTCAATCTGAGAATTGTATTAAGGAGTTGGGATTTTAATTTGTTGTTATTTTCTTCCCAACAGATGAAAATTCATTCTCCTTCCCCTCATAAACAAGTTCCATCCAAGTGCAATGACTACTTTTTTAACTACTTCACTCTTGGAGTGGTAAGTTGTGATTCCTTAGAGAAATGTTTCATTTCTGTGGTGGTGGACCATGCACCTGGGCACACCTTTGTGTCCACATGGAGCTGTAACCATGCCTGGCAGCAGGGAAACTAGCCCCAGCTGGCTTTGCTCAGTGCTCTTGCATTGGTACCCTAAAGTGGGCCTTCCCTAGCACTGAGATTGCTCAGAAACACTGGGTCCCTGGTATGTCTTGGCTTCTTTATTGAGGGCAACATGCTGCTCAGGTGGAGGCCGTGGGAATCATTCCGGGTAACATAGTTTGGGATCTACCCATTTGTAGAGCATAGGAGCCTCTTCTGGAGTCACAAAACAGGGAGACTAAAAAAGGGTCAAAGACAGTGGGAATGAGGGCTCCTGGGTGGCTCAGTTGCTTCAGCGTCTGCCTTCGGCTCAGGTCATGATCCCAGGGTCCTGGGATCGAGCCCCGCATCGGGCTCCCTGCTTAGCGGGGGCCCTGCTTCTCCCTCTCCCCCTCCCCCTGCTTGTGTTCCCTCTCTTGCTGTGTGTGTCTCTGTCAAATAAATAAATAAAATCTTAAAAAAAGAAAAGAATGTTGTGGATTAGAGGTGAGTGAGATTTCTGTGAGGCTTTCCAGTTTGGCCTAGTGCCAGGGTTGAGCCTCTCATGTATGTCCAGACATTACACTCTGCAGTACAATACTCCCCTTCCAGCCCAGTGAGAGAGACCCTATGTGAAGGGTCTTCCTGAGACAGGGAATGCATAATCTCCAAGCAAGTGCTTAGATATTCTTGTGGTGCCTACCACGCAAAAAGGGACTTCTAAGAGTGGGCCAGGGGATTCCTTGAGCCACAGTGTCAAAGTGTTTTCTCATTTATGAAGTGACGGATGGTGACTTTTCCTCTTTGTCGTACTCGGATGATCCCTAACCTACTCTGACTTTCAGTGTTAAACCATAAGGGAATTACTCATGACGATTAGCAACCATCCAAACAGGGATAATGGGCTTGCTTCTTGAGCTTATAGCTCTTGCATATTCAGTTAAATCAGATTTGGGCACCCCAAAATTAGATACATTTGAAAATAGGCTTAACTGGTTTTTAAGAATGAAGTTTATTTCTTATTTCACTACCTTTGTTGTCTGTTGTTGCAGTCTTTAGGTACACATAGTAGTTTTAGCATTAAGCTCATTTCCCCTGATATCTTCTAAGCAACTGGAATCAGTTGGAAAACATGGGTTTTTGAGTCCAAACCTTGGTTCGGATCCTTGCTCTTCCTATTTCTTAGCCGTGCAACTTTTGGTCAGTTGTGCAAGGAATTAACCCCTATCATATAATGCTGCATGTATCTACATGCAACCAGTCTGGTTCTCCTTCTGTAATGTGGATATAGTTTCCTTGTAATAGAATAATCTTTTTTTTTAATTTTATTTATTTATTTTAAGTAATCTCTACACCCAGTGTGGGGCTCAAACCCACAACCCCAAAATCAACAGTCACATGCTCCTCTGACTGAGCCAGCCAGGTGCCCTAGAATAGAATAACCTTTTGATGAGGATCAAGAGGAGGTGGTCTCTCAGAATTCTGATGTAATGCTTCTTAAATTGGGTCCTATCCTCCTCTGCCCTCCTTCCCTTCCTTTTCCATCTGTCTCCTTGCTCCCATCAAGTGTGAAGAATAGTTTGGCCCCATTAAATGTTTCAGAAATATCTTCTTGTCTCTAGCATATCACACCTTGGAAGTTAAATGTGTATATCAAGTAGGTCCCATCTTTCTTAGAGGGAAAAGTGTTAACAACTAAGAGCGAACAGCTTTACTAACTGTTTCATATGGAGGACTGTATAGTTCTGGGTCACTGAAAGGGCCTGCTTAAACATAACATAGTACAGATATACTTTGGTTCTGGAGATATAAAATACTAATAAAATGATGGTTGTGAGGATTTGCTTGCTTTTGAAAATTATCTAGTTATGTCCTGAATTGTAACCATGTCAGGAGAAAAATGATCAGATCTTGGAAGAGTGTAAGAAAATTCAGATCCTCCCATCATTCCTCCTCCAAGCAAAGATCTTGAAGGATGCTAAAATGTTGCTTCATCCTGCTTACTGCCATGTAATAGCCCTCTCAGAAATGTGTTCTGGGGTGAGAATCAGTGACCTAACGTCAGGGTTCATTGTTGTATTATCTTGCTTGAGGCCTAATGGTTTTAGACATTCATACAGGCCTACTAGAAAATTACAGCATTCCTTCTTCTAGTGTTTGCCAGGCATGATGGTGCCACCTGGGCCTGCTACCTTGTGAAAATTATTGGCGTAGAAGGGAACAGACAGTCTGAGCTAATCCCAGAAGGCTCTTTGGAGAGAATTTTTCTTTTCTTTCTTTTCTTTTTTTTTTTTAAGATTTTATTTATTTATTTGAGAGAGAGACTGAGATAGAGAGAGCATGAGAGGGGGGAGGGTCAGAGGGAGAAGCAGAC